TTTGTATGTATTTACAGTAAACTTTGGTTCTATAGAACTTATATGATGCGTCTTTTCTTACATATGTAAATAGCTGCTGTGATAAACACGGGATAAAGACGTATAACGAATTATAGAGTAATACAAAACATCAAACTAGGAAACATTAATTAATCTTATACTTCATTTATATGTACCATTAATAATGATATATATTTTGATGTGAGGAAATATATAAAGAGAAGGATACTGTATCGTAAAGTGTTTTTATCGTGCGAATATTGAACATATTTGAGAAAAGGTTTACTATAGTTTCTGTCCTTCAAATGCAAAAAGATGACTCGGTTTAAATAAACTTTTCGCGATTTGTCATCAAATGGCAAACTTAATATGTACGGCTATTCATGGTACATAAACAATGGTTATTACTTCAATTCCATGTCTACGTTCTTCAATTTGTTTACGTAATTAATTCAGACGAAAGGCTTATAAAAACACTTTGTTGAAAATATAACGCCTATTAAATACTTAAATTGTCTATATTTTTACATTTGTATATTTGCATGATAACAAAACTGGGTCTCCATGCGACGTATCATGATAATAACACAATCATTATTAACATCGTAACGAATGAATTCGGATATGTGGCATGCGAGTCTGGAATTATGCATTTATCTGTTATTATCATAATTACGGTATATTATGTAGTAAATATCGGATATAATTGGGAACTTCATCGATGATGGCCAGTCAACACCTTTTATATGCTATACTATAATAAAGAGCCTTTCACACTGGCAGCTAATCATCATTTGTATGAATATTTAGAATATAAAGTTGTAATTGCATTAGTTGAATTTGTTTACGCACAAATCAAAATATATTTATTCATGACCATTTTTTGGTAACATTCTGACTCACGGGTATAAACCGTTTTGTTGCTGAGTAGGATAAGCGGTTTGTAACACAAAGTAAACAGATACATTCCATTACTGTAAAATGCAGATCTCTTTACCTCAAACGAGCAATTTACATTGATTTTTGTGTATTACGTGTGAAAGCGTTTAACGCTCGAGATTATTTCGGATAAGATTTCACTGACATCTATATAGCACCCTATAAATTTGATAGAAATGCTGTTAAGTGCTTTGAAGTGAGTATCACATAGAATTGTGATAGAGAATGTAGCAGATGTTGAAATAGGCAGCTGGTGACGAATGCTACTTTTTATGCTCCCTAAAGAGAGAGCATATAGTCGCCGCTTTGTCCGTCCGTCCGTCATAATTGTGTCCGGAGTATATCACAAATACTATAAGAGGTATCAACATAAAACTGCATAGGTAGATAGATCTCGATTAAGAAGAACAGTATACAAGAACCGTAACTCTATTTTGTATAATATAGGAGTTATTGCCCTTCGTTATTTTTCATACTTAAATTTTGTCCGGAGCATCAAACAAAAGCTAGGTTTCGTGGAGCATTCGTTAGTTTCATTGATTTTATTGTTATTGATCTTTTTGACATCTCAGACCATAGATTCTGTTTTATAAAATACTACAAATTGATTTGTTGAAAAGAATCCAGATGTAGGACGGTCATGTTACGACAAATATATACTTGATACTATAAACAAAGCAAATATCAAAATTATAAATGTTAGTTCCTTTGTCTGCCTGTATTTATGCTTTACATACAAACAGGACGATGACATGAAGCCAAAACATGAATAAAGAATCCAGCAATTAAAGCTTTCGTCAATGTATACATATAATTCGAACATACATTGATAGTTAACAGCTTCAAAAACAAAGGTATGAGCTGGAACATATCGAAATGCGCGAGAACTGTTTCTTTAGACTTGCATTCTCCGTGTATGTGTCCATAATGTCTTGTCTTTTCGACCTCCTGGTGGCAGGTGCGTGGTTATTGCACAGATTGTTTAGCCTGATATGCCTAGGTTTATTTCTGAAAGACCTGTTCCACAGTACAATATTTCAAGACAAACAGTACTGAACCTTGAACTCAATGAATGCTTTATCTGATGAAGGATAACATATTCCCATCACAACAGACATGCACTGAGATCAGTATCGTTATAATACTCAGCCATGTAGTGAAGGAATGCGAACCTGCTATGATATACTCTCTTTTCCCGGAGTTAGATAACATAGTCGATTGGTAGGTTCTGATCACTCTGGAGAAAGAATGCTTATTATATCAAAGCTACCAAACCAAGAATGCATTAAGGTATTCCTGATGCAAGGCCACCAGAGAATGAACCGACATTTTTAATTGTATACCCCAAATTGACACGCCCTTTTACATGTACATTAGTTAGATTATTATGATACTGACATACATATGCGAGTCGCAATTTATCTATCCGAGGCTGAAAGCCCATGATGAGTCGAATTACTCTTACTACTTTCACATTTCATTGAGTTTATTTGAATCATTGCATCTTTGCTGATGATTTTGTCGAGGAACGTAAACATGTATTATCGGAGGGTGAATGTAGCTTTTGAAAAGAAAGTTATAAGCATAAGTTAGTCTGCAAAGTTCAGTTTAGACACACTAGTTCCACTCTCCTGTCTTTAAGGTTATGAGGCCATGCCTAACTTATGTTATCTTCTCAGAATCTCTCCATTTAAAAGTCAGGAAATGATATATGAATTTTAATCAGTTTTGTTTGTCATATTCACGCCATATTTAATTTTAGCTGCCCAGTAACTATCTTGCATGTAATTGAATATCAATACACATAGGCATCAGCTGGTACAACATACGTCGTATACGCTAACTTTAATTCCGCGAAGAAGACCATAGCGGGAAAACCGCGAAATATTAGTCCTGTGAAAGTAAACACATATTTAGCCAGACTTGGATCGGTATGTATGTGTACATCTGCGGATCACCAAGTAGTATCCGCACGCGTCCATACTGGCAAACAAGAAAGGTTAAGAGGATTCAAGAAGAGTTCTGTTCCAAATAGTTGTGAAAAATTACGTTTACACATATAGTACACGTATGTTTCATCTTGGTATATGCATTGTTAACACAGAGCGGGATTGATGGTCTGGATTATATACATCTTTCTCTCCCACGTGGGTTTTGTTTTTCATTGACTTCGCACAACGTATCTCGATCATGGAGGAAAACTCTCATTTCAGTTCTCGTGTTATGAATTGTCGATATCAAACTCAAATTTAATGTTAATTCATAACGGCGAAAAATGACACGCCCGTAATGGCATCTAAAATGCTTCATATAAGTAACAATAAGCTCGATACTTCTGAACAGACGCCCATGCAACATGTCTCCACAGAAATTGCTCAAAATATGGATTTCAGCAACGTATCAGATCAAGATTACTACTCAAAGCTAATGTCCAAAATTTCCGAACATTAACAGATTCCAAAATCGTAGAAATTTTATTTTTATTATTCATTGACCGTGTTGTTTGCTTTGACAATTGGAGAATGCATTCACTTAGTTTATTTGTTTACAATCTTATCTCGTTTGCTTTGTCAGTTTTGACAGGGTAACAACATATTTAGTTACTCCATATGTCTGTGTCTGCATACTGATCAATACGCACTCTGTTCTTAAGTAGGGCGGTGAATATTGACACTCGAAAGATTGTAAACAGGGGACATTTAGGCATCCTTATTGCTAATTTACTCCGTCACTAAACAGCAGAAGACTCTTTAAGTGACCGAACACTCATATTACTTAGTAACAACCAATGGCCATTACTTACCAGAGACAAGATACAGACTCCCATATCCTGGAATTATTGTACATGAAATGCCACGTGTACAGTAGAAATACCTTTCTGTGCTTTATAAGTATTCCCTGTAAACATACACACAAGTGTTGTATCTAGTTCAAACGCAACGATATTTCTTCCCACCTCAACCCTGTGAGGTAATATGTTTTATTTATTCCTTCAAACCACTAAGATATTGTATTTTCGAGCAACGAAATTTCTCGCTTCCAGTACAAGAAGCTTGGAAAGGGATCGATCTGTGTAATTCTTGTTGGGTCTGAGGGCAAGACCCTTGATCCTACTTGCCCAGGATGGCATATGGCGGAACTCAAATATGCTGTTTAGTGTGGTAGTCACCAGAAAGTATAAGAAGCCGCCGCTGTTTACAAAACGATTGACCCAGCTAACAATCAAAGAAACAAACTGACGCTACCAGTCATCGGCTATAGCACTCAATGGGTCCCTAAACGTGGTATCTACTGAATATCGTATCTCCGTTTTATGTTCCCGTATAAACATTGTTGAATCAAAGTGCGTTCATTGGGTTTAAACATAAGTAAGAATAATCAAACGATAGTGTAGTATTGGCGCGTCCCTTGTCTCAATCTATAGAGCTGCGTTAGAATATATTCTCAGTCCAGGCTTGAGCAACCGTTCATCGATGAATTAGTTTGTGTTGTTCTTTTTCAATATTTTAGTATTTTTGTTCTACCTTTGATTGAATATTTTGGAAATATTCAACTTTCGTTTTGCATGTTACAGAGATGACTAGTAGATAACACATTGAGAGTAGCAAAAGCTAAATATGGTAAAAGGCATAACTGAACTAACAGGTGAATGTGATCCCTCATTTTACCCTTAAGGCGCCTCGTGGCGAACTATTGCCCGGATGCAGGAGGGCAGACATGAAGAGAAGAACTAAGTATCGATACCTTACAATTAGAAATGTACGAAGTGGCACCATCGACAAAGCCGTTAGATTAACTAATTTGATAAATCAAGAACAAAAAACTGGTAAAGAAGTATACATCATGTTCGGACACACCTAACGCTCGTAGTTGAATCCCATCTATCGCCCTGGACCCTTCCTGTCAGTTCTAATGTATTGCGTACATGGTGTAATCATTTGCGGACACGCAACGACGTCTGGCCAATTTGATATATCTGGACCTGGATTGTGTCGTATTAGTGAAATCAATCATTCTTATTTGTTTTCACAGCACGACAAAATGACCAGCTGGAGTCCAATATGCCTTACAGGACTGCCCGAGATAAGCGCAATCTGTCCAGGTTAAATCTAGCTGGGGACAAAGCGAACGGTATACATCGATCAGTAAGTTTTTGTCAATTCACCAAAAATAAGATATATGTTTTCCATTTGTCTAACTCATATGTTTCATTATGAAAACTGCATGACATTCTATATCCTTGAAATTTAATAAACTGCTTTAAATATTTATTGTAAAAGCTCTCAAGTCAGTCTTGTCATCATCATCACTAGGGGTTGTCAGTCGTGTCAAAGTCATCGATTAGGGTTATTAGTCGTGTCATCATCATATCTAGGGGTTGTCGGTCGTGTCATAGTCATCGATAAGGGTTGTCGGTCGTGTCATAGTCATCGATAAGGGTTGTTAGTCGTGTCATCATCATCACCAGGGGTTGTCAGTCTTGTCATCATCATTACCAGGGGTTGTTAGTCGTGTCATCATCATCACTAGGGGTTGTCGGTCGTGTCATAGTCATCGATAAGGGTTGTCAGTCGTGTCATCATCATCACTAGGGGTTGTCAGTCATGTCATCATCATCACAAGGAGTTGTCAGTCGTGTCATAACCATCACTAGGGGTTGTTAGTCATGTCATCATCTTCACATGGAGTTGTCAGTCGTGTCAAAGTCATCACTAGAGGCTGAGATTAGTGACATAGTCATCGATAAGGGTTGTCAGTCGTGTCATCATCATCACAAGGGGTTGTCAGTCTTGTCATAGTCATCGATAAGGATGTCAATAGTGACATAGTCATCACTAGGGGTTGTCAGTCGTATTATCAGTCATGTCATAGTCATCGACAAGGATTGTTAGTCGTGTCATCATCATCACTAGGGATGTCAGTCAGTCTTTTCATTGTCATCGATGAGGGCTGAAAGTTTTGTCACCATCATCACTAGGGGTCGTCAGTATTGTCATCATCATCAGTAGGGTTGTGAATCGTGTCATCATCATCACAAGGGGTTGTTTGTCAATTCATCATCATCACTAGGGGTTGTCAGTCGTGTTATAGTTATCGATAACAGTTGTCGGTCATGTCATAGCCATCGATAAGGGTTGTAAGTTTTGTCATCATCATCACTAAGGGTTGTCATTCGTGTCATCATCATCTCTAGGGGTTGATAGTTGTGTCTTAGTCATAGATAGTGGTTTTCAGTCGTGTCATCGTCATAACAAGGGGTTGTCAGTCGTGTCATCATCATCACTAGGGGTTGTCAGTCGTTTCATAGTCATCGTTAAAGGTTGTCAGTCGTGCTATCATCATCACTAGGCATTGTCAGTCGTGCCATCATCATCACTAGGGGTTATCAGTCTTGTCAATGTCATCGATCAGAGTTTTCAGTCTCATCAGCATCATCCCTAAAGGTTATCAGTCGTGTTATCATCATCACTAGGGGTTGTGTGTCGTGTCTACATCATCACTAGGGGTTGTTAGTCGTGTCATTTTCATTACTTTAGGTTGTCAGTCATGTCATCATCATCACTAGGGGTTGTCAGTCTTGTTATCATCATCACAACTAGGGGTTGTCGGTCGTGTCATCATCATCATTATCATCATCATCATCATCATCATCATCATCATCATCATCATCATCATCATCATCACAAAGGGTTTTCAGTCGTGCTATCATCATCACTAGGTGTTGACAATTTTGTCATCATCATCGTTAGGAGCTGCCAGTCATGTCATCATCATCCCTAAAGGTTGTCAGTCGTGTTATCATCATCACTAGGGGTTGTCTGTCGTGTCTACATCATCACTATGGGTTGTTAATCGGCGTATTCATCGATAAGGGTTTTCAGTTATGTCATCATCATCACCACTCGGGGTTGTCAATCGTGTTTTCAACATTACCAGGGGTTGTCAGTCGTGTCATCATCATCACTAGGGGTTGTCAGTCGTGTCATCATCATCACTAGGGGTTGCCAGTCGTGTCATCGTTATCACTAGGGGTTATCAGTCGTGTCATAATCATCGATAAGGGTTATTAGTCGTGTCATCATCATCACCAGGGGTTGTCAGTCGTGTCATCATCATCACTAGGGGTTGTCAGTCGTGTCATAGTCATCACTAGGGGTAGTGAGTCGTGTCATCATAATCACTAGGGGTTGTCTGTCGTGTCATCATCATCACTAGGGGTTGTCAGTCGTGTCATAGTCACCGATTAGGCTTGTCAGTCGTCTCATATTCATCACTGTGGGTTGTCAGTCGTGTAATCATCATCACCAGTGGTTGTCAGCCTTCGCATCATCATTATCACTAGGGGTTGTCCCTCGTGTCATTATCATCATCACTAGGGGTTGGCAGTCGTTTCATTGTCATCGATCAGAGTTGTCAGTCTTGTCATCATCATCCCTAGGGGTTGTCAGTCTTGCCATCATCATCATCATTAGGTGTTGTCAGTCGTCTCATATTCATCACTGTGGGTTGTCAGTCTTGTCATCATCATCACTAGTGTTGTCAGTCCTGCCATAGTGATCGATAAGGGTTTCCAGTCGTGTCATCATCTTCACTAGTGTTGTTAGTCGTGTCAAAGTCATCGATAAGGGTTTCCAGTCGTGTCATCGTCATCACTAAGGGCTCTCAGTCTTGCCATCATCATAATCATCACCAGGGGTTGTCAGTCCTGTAATATTTATCGATAAGGGTTGTTAAATGTGTCATTACTATCACCTATGTTGTTAGTCATGTCATAGTCGTCGATAAGGGTCGTCAGTCATGTCACAGTCATCGACAAGGGTTGTTAGTCGTGTCATAATCATCACTAGGGGATGTCAGTCTTTTCATTGTCATCGATCAGGGCTGACAGCTTTGTCATCATCATCACTAGGGGTCGTTAGTATTGTCATCATCATCACTAGGGTTGTCAATCGTGTTATAGTCATCGATAAGGGTTGTCAATCGTGTCATCATCATCAGATGGGGTTGTTTGTCAATTCATCATCATAACTAGGGGTTGACAGTCGTGTTATAGTCATCGATAAGGGTTGTAAGTTGTGTCATCATCATCACTAGGGGTTGTGTGTCGTGTCATCATCATCACTATGGGTTGTCAGTCGTATCATTTTCATCACTTTAGGTTGTCAGTCATGTCATCATCATCACTAGGGTTTGTCAGTCTTGTTATCATCATCACAACTAGGGGTTGTCGGTCGTGTCATCATCATCATCATCATCATCATCATCATCATCATCATCATCATCATCATCATCATCATTACAAAGGGTTTTCAGTCGTGCTATCATCATCACTAGGTGTTGACAATTTTGTCATCATCATCGTTAAGAGCTGCCAGTCATGTCATCATCATCCCTAAAGGTTGTCAGTCGTGTTATCATCATCACTAGGGGTTGTCTGTCGTGTCTACATCATCACTATGGGTTGTTAATCGGCGTATTCATCGATAAGGGTTTTCAGTTATGTCATCATCACCACTAGGGGTTGTCGGTCCTGTCATCATCATCACTCGGGGTTGTCAATCGTGTTTTCAACATTACCAGGGGTTGTCAGTCGTGTCATCATCACCACTAGGAGTTGTCAGTCGTGTCATCGTCATCACTAGGGGTTGCCAGTCATCACAAGGTCATCACTAGGGGTTGAGAGTTGTGACAAAGTCATCGGTAAGGATTTTCCGTCGTCTCATTATCATCACAAGGGGTTGACAGTCTTGTCATAGTCATCGATAAGGGCTGTCAGTCTTGCCATCATCATAATCATCACCAGGGGTTGTCAGTCCTGTAATATTTATCGATAAGGGTTGTTAAATGTGTCATTACTATCACCTATGTTGTTAGTCATGTCATAGTCGTCGATAAGGGTCGTCAGTCATGTCACAGTCATCGACAAGGGTTGTTAGTCGTGTCATCATCATCACTAGGGGTTGTCAGTCGTGTTATAGTCATCGATAAGGGTTGTAAGTTGTGTCATCATCATCACTAGGGATTGTGTGTCGTGTCATCATTATCGCTATGGGTTGTCAGTTGTGTCATAGTCATTACTAGGGGTTGTCAGTCGTTTCATAGTCATCAATAAGTGTTGTCAGTCGTGTCATCATCACTAGGCATTGTCAGTCGTGCCATCATCATCACTAGGGGTTGTTAGTCTTGTCATCATCATCATCATCATCATCATCATCATCATCATCATCATCATCATCATCATCATCATCATCATCATCATCATCATCATCATCATCATCATCATCATCATCATCATCATCATCATCATCATCATCATCATCATCATCATCACAAGGGGTTGTCAGTCGTGCTATCATCATCACTAGATGTTGTGAATTTTGTCATCATCATCGTTAGGAGCTGCCAGTCATGTCATCATCATCCCTAAATGTTGTCAGTCGTGTTATCATCATCACTAGAGGTTGTCTGTCGTGTCTACATCACCACTAGGGGTTGTTAGTCGGCGTAGTCATCATTACCATGGGTTGTCAGTCGTGTCATCATCATCCCTAAATGTTGTCAGTCGTGTCATCATCATCAGTAGGAGTTGTTAGTCGTGTCATTATCATCACTTGGGGTTGTCAATCCTGTTTTCATCCTCACCAGGGGTTTTCAGTCTTGTCATCATCATCACTAGGGGTTGTATGTCATGTCATCATCATCACTAGGGGTTGTCAGTCGTGTCATCATCATCACAAAGGCTTTTTTGTTGTGTAATAATCATCGTTAGTAGGGGTTGTCAGTCTTGTTATCATCATCACAACTAGGGGTTGTCGGTCGTGTCATCATCATCATTATCATCATCATCATCATCATCATCATCATCATCATCATCATCATCATCATCACAAAGGGTTTTCAGTCGTGCTATCATCATCACTAGGTGTTGACAATTTTGTCATCATCATCGTTAGGAGCTGCCAGTCATGTCATCATCATCCCTAAAGGTTGTCAGTCGTGTTATCATCATCACTAGGGGTTGTCTGTCGTGTCTACATCATCACTATGGGTTGTTAATCGGCGTATTCATCGATAAGGGTTTTCAGTTATGTCATCATCATCACCACTCGGGGTTGTCAATCGTGTTTTCAACATTACCAGGGGT